ATATATATAAATGGTTTAAAAAATAAATAAATATTTTCAATTTTAGTTTAGTGGTAGTTTGAGAAGCCATGAGTAGCAACACTGCAGACACACACAAACAAGACAGATCTATAGATCTTAATTAATCTTTGTACATATTTTATCTTAAAAATTGATAAGTAACTAATGAAAAGCTCTGGCGTCATTGTGTATGACTGTTCAGTGTTAAATCAACAAAAATCATATTAACAACATTTTTGTTGTTTTCAAACAAACTGTATGATAAACAATTTTGATATCATGTTAGATTGCCACTCGATGTCCCGTGAAATATGGACATATGGAACCAGTGGAGAACATGTCATACTGGTTCATAATAAATAGACACAAATGTGTGTGTTTTTGTAAAAAGTTTTTAAATGTGTTTGCATGTGTCATAGGGGACAGCGGTTACAGCAGCTGTCAATTTGGGTTGTTTTCTGTGTAAGGTTAAATATATCTAGAGAGAGAGAGAAAAACCACAAAGAGCAGCACAGTTGTTGTGCATATGTTGGTGCATTTTTGGAAGCGTTCTCTCGCAGTGGACAAAGCATATGATTTCTGATGTTTACATTTGTGGAAGTGTGTCTTAGCACATATGTGGTTGCGTGAGCATTCACACCTTGCGTGTGTGTGTGCTGTGATATCTCACCACTGAAGCATCCTCTTGTAGCGAGAAGCACAGTCCGCTTTTGCACCGTCCGCACATCTGCACATGGGGGCTGGTTGTAGATCCAGAGATCTGCTTGACAAACTTCACAAACAAAGCATGCACATAAACACGTTCACAAATGACGCACACAGGAGAAAGAATGCTAATTAAAGCAAATATTTGTTTGTGTGCTGTCCAGGTGGTCTTACATTTTTAACCCAGTTTTACTCTTACATAAAACATGAAACCGATTTCCTCAAACTGTGTGTGTGTGTGTGTGTGTGTGTGTGTGTGAGTTTGTGTGGTTACAAGTAGCCTATGTGCATGTGCTTGTGTGTTTTTGGTGTGCTCATGTGTCAGCCACCAGACAACATAAAATAGAACATTTTAGAGAAGAGGCATAAACATAACTAATACAAATTAAAAAAATATGTAATTACATTTTCAGGTTTAATTAACATTAATTTAACATTATATCCTCAATGTACAGTATATACATTGCATAAAATATTGAAATTCACAACATGTACTGTATACTATATAAAAATATATATGATAGTTATATTTATTACTATATAATATTTATTATATGCACACACACACACACACACACACACACACACACACACAATTAGAATATGTATTTTCACATAGCAAATTTAGCCTTGGAAGAAATTCATGATGGTGAGAGTGTGAGTTTCTCTGACAAACTGTTAACTCTTAAATGGCCTTTGGCATGTGGATCCATTTATGGTTTTAAGAATATATATAGTTTGTATTGACTTTTGGTGACTGCTGTAGCAAATGTCAACATGTTCTGTCTTTATGTTATGCCCTAAACACACATGACATGTTGTTGGTTAGAAAATACGTCCTGGTGCTTGTTAGTCTGAATGACTGCTTAAAACAAGAGATATTCAGCTAATGTGTGTGTTCAAGATGCCAGAAGTCCTTGAAACTGCATTTAAAGCACACTGTGCTAAATTCTTTGATTGCTCCAAAAACCCTGAACAATAATAATAAAGTATTTTATTTTATAATAATGATTGTTATTATATTGTACCATAGAGGATTTGTGATAATGTTAAGGATTTTTCAGTATTGATTTTGTACAGGTGTTTTACCTGTATTTTAAATTACGGATTTGATGTCCAGTGAATTGTAGTGTTTCAGTGTTGGAAGAAATGTCTGTAAATGTACTGATAATTTTCTGCCAGTAGATTATCCTTTTTTTTTCTTCTAAGAATTCTTCACATCCCTGATTATTTTGTACTGTTACTTTCAATTATTTACTAATCAAGCCTAGTAATCACTTAATCAGCATTGTTCATCTGTTAGCTCTTCTGAGTGAAACAGAGTGGGTTTTATGCTGCTAGCAAAGCCTGTTGCTACAGTAAGACTGTGACACAACCTCCCTTTGAGGTCTATGAAATGTCATGTGTTTGGGAATTTAAGGCTGTGAGTCTGGCAGTGGGTGTAGATCTATGAACTCTCTCATAGAGGCAGTATTGTTCCTGTGTTAAGAGGACTGAGGAGAGAATGCTTTACAAATCACTACTTATCACTACTAGCACAAGATATCTGTCAGCTCAATATATTGGCATTTGGTGATCAATTTGATTGAATTTGCTTTGTTTTATGTACATCAATATGAATATTATTGATAAATAGGTCATTTAATTCGAGTACAATATCTATATTTTTTGCTATGCATTTCTGAGTCTGGGTTGCCTGATCTGGGCCGGTGTACTTCATAAGTATTTAGGCTTGTCTCCCAGCTGTCTGCTCGCCAGACAACCCTGCAACCCCCCAGAGGAAAAGGTCAAAGGTCAGTCCCACTTCCTGAACAAAGATCATCCTGAATCCAAATGCTTTCAGACAGAGGTCTGCATTTGCTCTCATTGAGCAACCGAAGGAAAACGAAGGAATCTGCGTTGTGTGTCTTGGCTGTACTTGAATTTAGGAGCGGCAGGCAGCGTATGAAAATGTTTGTCTACAGTCTGAGTCAGTGTTCAGATGTTTGTTTTCGATCACAGGGGTGTGGTGTCCGTCACGTCAATCTCCTCGGCCCTTTCTCTCACTAGAGACTCACTAGAGCCCTGAAGAAAATCAGAGGGCAGTCCAGGATTCCTCAAGCTGCCGAGAGCAGATATTTTGGGAAGAAACGCTCATATCACATGGCCTTGGGTTTCCATCTCGCACACAATGCTGCCTCAGTGTCAGAGAACGGAGAGAGAGAGAGAGAGAGACTTCGAGACAGACGGACACAAAAAAGAGGACAATAAAAGAGCAAAAGAGCAAAGAACGCTCCATATGATCAGCACATGGGCATGCCGTAATTCTGCATCCGCTCATTATTACAGCACACGGAAGACATTAAATCAAGAAGATTGGGGTAGAGTTAAAGAGAGAGGAGGAGAGAGAGGGAGGGACAAGCCAAAGGAGAGCGAGGGAAAGCAAACAAGGAGGAGAAACTGCGCTGGGAGAGAAAGAGGAAGTCCAACAAAAAAGGTTGGAGGAAAGACAGGCTACATGTGGCAGAGGAGGGTGTGTGCTTAGTCATGGAGGGGGACAAAATCGCAGGTAAGAGTTCGGTGCGCCACCAACGGGACGATTCTCAAAGAGATTCTCCCATACTAGAGTCTATTTTCCGATCTTTTCACTTGCTTTGTAAGATTTCGATGGCAGTGTTTTTTGCTTTAGCTGGGATCTGTGACTTATGGAGACTTGAGTTGTTTTGTGGTTTAAATTGAATTCATTTAGCTTCTTTTATGACCTTTCCACCAGACAAAGCATTTGCGCTGTACTACTTTTGTCCCTGGTGACGTTGGTGCTGCAGAGCAGCGTGCGTTTGTAAGATTTTCCGTTGACAGGGCTGGATTTTCCATAGGCTTTGACTGGAAGAGGGAACCCGGTCATCAAGCTGTGACAACAGCCAATAAATAGAGCTGTGTGTGTGGATGAAATGCTCTGTATCAGTGCTGTGGTGTGCTCTGCACTGTCAGCACACAGGCTTTTTGTAAATGTGTGAGGGACTCTGAGAGTTTCCAGAGGTCAGAAAATAATGGTGCTGTGCTTCAGCTGTACAGCAAAAAATAAATAAATACATTTAAAAAAGTTAAAACAGTGTATAATATGAGCCTTTATCCTTTATCTGAGTTGACACACCTGGTGCCCAAGGTCCCAGATCACTTCTGAGATAGTTAGCCACCATCAGTCCAGGTGGGTCTATAATGGATTTTGCAGGAACTGGAGAAGAGAAAAGCAACAAATCGGCATTATCTTATTAGTAATCGTAGGTATTTCAACATTAAATGTGGTTCTAGCCTACATATATTGTATGATTGAAGAGACATCACAATGTACATTAAAAATGTATGAAATGCATCAAAATTAAACTTAATTTATGCATTTCAGCAGACAATTTTATCAGCAGTAACTTACTGTATAATACAGGAACTAGGCCAACACAGAGCCAACAATATTCATAGTGCATAATGCCAG